TATGTGTGTGTGTGTGTGTGTGTGTCATATGCTAAATAACCATTCATTTACGTGTCAGATAACATGACTAGTCAGCAAATGCCTTATTTTCATAACAATGAACTGATGGATGTTATTATTTCGTAAGTGGTTTTGCCTTGACACAGCTATAATATTATAATTTCTGATTATGTTTTAACTGTATTGCGCAATATATGTACATTGCAGAATTGCAGACCTGCCTGGAAAGCATGTTTGCATTTGTTATTGCTTGAAATGATAATTAGGTTAGTAATCAATGATGTGAAGTTCTGTCCTTCTATAGCATCCGAGCCCAACCTTAAGGTCCGTTCTGTGTTGAAGCAGAAGGTAATAGACAGACGCAGTAGTCCTTTGCTAAGACGCAAAGATAAAGGGCCAATCCCTGCGAAGAGGAGACCTCCTCTTGCAAGTATGATGCTTTTGTTTAGTTCTTTATTTTGAGTGGTCATTTGCATGTTATGCTGTAATATAATTGGGTGCTGTTTATGTCATATCTAACAGTGTATGTCTTATATAGCATGCTAACATATAATCTATAGCATGAAGATGAAGAATTTTTATGTTTATCATTAACATTAGCAAACTAAATATAGAAAAGTACTTATGGGCAATTTAAAATATAACTTTATATAGTGCATAGACATATTTATAGAGAGTTTCTATACCAGATTGTTTTCATATCTAGAAAGCCAGGTTTTGCTCGTGAAGTATTTAATACCTTTATGTAAAATATTAGACAATTTTTTCATTATCGCTATGTTTCACAATTATCACATGAAATTATTTATTTCATTTTTAAATTACTTTGTGAGATTGTAATTTTCTGCATTACCAACCATTGTAAAATATTAACTAAAATAAATTTAGTTAACTGTTTGAAGGTTGTACAAACTGGCACATACCGAAGTTTGTTATTTTTAAACAAATATTGTGTTCGAGTCCACGTTTGTGTTAATTACTTAAATTGCTTTGTAAACAAACTTTGTCTTGATCATATTACAAACAAACAAACTTTGTTTTGATCATATATCGTAATGTGTGAAATTTACATTTAACTAGACGGAAGTAATAGTAAACCTGATTCTGGTCCAGGATCGCCATCAGAGGGAGCAAATATTCATTCCCTCCAGTCTAGTAACGGCAGCACTCCGATTCGAGAGGTAAGGCAATAAGGGCTGACTGTAATAATTAAGTAGGGCATCGAAGTGATGTCAAATTGAACTAACATTTATTTTTGCACAACTTTTAATTATGTTACTACACTCTAAGTGTGTTTTGTTACGTTAGGCCGATGATAACCAAGATAATAAAAACCAAATAAATGACTTACGATGCAATATTTGTCTTTTAAGTTTAATGCAAGACTTTAATAATAATGATATATTTTAGTATAATTCATTTATATACCAGCTGAATCCCCGTTATATTACGGTAAATGCTGATTAATTTTTCTTCTTAAAATGATGTATAAATAAATGGTTTTTGAACATGTTTACTAAAAACCAAATATATAATAATAATAATATATATATATATATAAAGAATTTTTTCTGTTATTTCACGAAAACAACATTTTTTGTGTATATTTAGTCATTTCATGTAAGTTGTCCTTGATTAAAATTTATGTTCAAACCTTAATCTTGATAAAGCCTTATATATATTGAACCAGGCGAAAAATTTGTTCTCAAAAAAATATTCCTACATGGTCAAATGTCTGATCCTGCCATTTAAGAATGGTTATGGCAAAGGGAATCAGTTTTATGGTGAAAGGCAAATGCACAAAGGTTCAAATTTTCATAAAAAATATTATAAATGTTTTCACTGAATTTTTAAAAATCTCTTACCTAAGTTGGAAAACATCAATAATAATGTATTGTCCGCCATCTATTGGTTTAAAAATATATTTAAGATGTTTTTTACACACAGTCATTCCTGTTTGTTATGTGATATAATATTAACCCTTATTTAATGTATACTTGTATTCCTATTTTTCATAATATTTCAAAGAACATGTTGTAAATAAGATAATAAATATATAAAAAATTAATTATTCTAATAATAAAAATTAACATTAAATCCCGACATGACTAGGTTTTGAACGGTAAAATCATTATGATACCCGGTATTTGTAATGAAATATATACAAATAATTCAATTCCCTGGTTGAAAGTATCATTTTATTATAGTTTTTTTGTTATTATTATTATTATAGTTATATTATAGTTATTGCTCTAAACCTGAAGAGTTAATAGTTAAAAAAGTCCCTACTTGAGTGGGATTTGAACTGGAGACTTCCGCTTCAGACAAAGCGCTGAGTCTCTTTGAACATTACTAACAGAGTCAAGCGTTACTGGCAAAGGAAGCGCTACCAGCAAAGAATGTGTTTGTTTGTTTTGAATTTCGCGCAAAGCAACACGAGTGCTATCTACACTAGCCGTCCCTAATTTAGCAGTGTAAGGCAGCTAGTCATCACCACCCACCGCCAACTCTTGAGCTACTCTTTTACCAACGAATAATGGGATTGACCGTCACTTTATAATGCCCCCACGGCTGAAAGGGCGAGCATGTTTGGTGGGAGTGGGATTCGAACCCGCGACCTAAACACCTGGCCATGCCGTGATCCAGCAGAGAGTAGCTTTCATATATATATACTGATGTGTGTGTATGTTTATATGTTGTGTTTGATTAAATAAGCTACATGCCCATCCTCTTCGTTATTATTGCTGCGAACTTAATGGAGCCTTTGTCGGGCAACTGAACATTGATTTCTCAACGTTCGCGGAACACTTATAAGATATTTAACTAGGCAGCAATATAAATAATATCTGCAATCTTATGTTAAAAATATAAAATGCCAGTATAATTATTTAATCAGAAACTTAAATCATTTTCTTAACATGGCATTTAACAAATTGCACAATTTAAATTATCCTCAAGTTATGCAGCAACAATATAAAAGGGTCTAGTAAGAGGGCCGAAATCTTGCAATAAAAACGAAATATATTTTATCGTCCATGTAATTTATTTAATCAAATACGTTATAAGTCTTAAACAATAAGAGTAAATTTTTAATGCAATTGGTAAAAAGCTTAATTTAATGTAAATCTAACTGAGCCGACACAGTTAACAACTTCGGGTATACAGTAAATTACGTGCGATTCAAACATCGATTGAAAATATTCAAGGATAACGTGAGTTTGTTATGAAGCGGCCTTGAAAATTTCCACTTGTTCAATAAGCTCATTTGTATGCAAAATAAATTTCATATAATCTTATAATCAAACGTCTGATGAACAAAAATTTGTTAGAAAACTTTATTTTATCACGGAGCTAATTCTTGCGCAATTACATGACGCAATTTGCATCTCAGTTAGGAGTGTGGTCACTGCTGGCACTATTGGAGACTTAGAAACGACTACTGTACTTATTACTTACTAACAGCTTTTACGTATTTCTACATAAAAATGGACTCACGGGAATATTTTGCATGGGTTTATTAAAAGAACTTGAGAAATACAATGCTGTTTCTTACCAAACACATAATATTATGTGAACAATGTTGTTCGGGTATACAGTACTTGTGATGTTATATGCAGCATAACACAATCAACAAATAAATATCATGCTAACTAATGTGGTCTGGTTGCAGCTGGTCTGCGTCCTGATTTCGCAAAAATGCCCTCCACACTTTGAGACCATATATACGCTATAAGAGTGACAGTGAAATCCCACTATTTGGTCAGACAAGAGTAACCCAAGAGGTTCTGCGATGGGTGCTGTTCACTAACTACCTTCCGGCCTTCCTTTTATCAGAGTAGGTGAAATGTATTATTGCTGCTTTTTTTTAATGTTATTGTTGTTCACCTTAAGCAAACAATGTGCTAAACGAACAAGTCAGAACCCCTTTAGTTCGGGTACATCAGTACCTAATTTTGAACCGTGAACCAGTGGAAAGGCAAACAAACGGCAGAATCCGCTGCCCGAAACGGCTTCTCTTAACCGAATATCAGGATTGATTGTCACATTTATAACGCAACCACAGCTGGAATTATGAAGCGGGTTTTGTAGCACCACGTTTCGAACCCGAAACCTTCAGATTCCCATTCCGATATGGTCCGCTCAGGCCAAGTGAAATGTAAATCAAAGCTGGTTGCGTCTCTATAGCAGAGTATGCGAATGTATGTTAAAATCCAAACTCTAAGATTGTTTAACACTCCATTGTAGCAGAATACGTGATACAAAGATGAATATTTTCCCTTGAGATGTTTATGTCACTATTTCTTCACGTTCTGGACTTTCTTGTTTTGGCATAAAAACTAATCAGCACAGTTTATGCACAGATTGTGTTCACCAACAAAGTTAAAAGATATTTTACAGTTGTTTAGATTTTTTAACAGATGGTAATTTCATAATGTGCATGACCTGATTCCACACCAACCATATATTTAATTTCTCTGTTTTAAAAAGGGGCATAGACATTTCTACGCCACATTTAACTGCTCTGTTATTTGAATAGCAAGTGAACTGTTATTTATCCAGAAAAAAATTAAATGACTGTACTATCGTAGGTAGCCATGCAATTCGCTTATAACATTACCTACAAAAAAAGCCGGGAACGTTATTATTCTTTGGTTCCCATGATACATATGTGTTCTTTTATTTTTGTTTTAAAGCAGAGCTAACTGCGCATCACAATACTGTCTTTGTTTTGGCTAAAGCGAACAGACTCGTGTTAGAAGAGGCAGACATTTCAGTCGAGATCATAAGATTTGCCGAAAACTGCCGCTTTAGAGTTTTTTCTTTGTTCGTCCTTGCTCGTAGAAAACTGCTGCATTTCTTGAAAGTGATAGAAATGTACAATATGAGGCAACTTTAATAATACTAAACGTAATTCAACTCTCTTAATTCCTCCCAGGAGTGCAGAATCTAGAAATATGTACACATGTTGTTGTTCTTGTCACAGTTCACGAGCCGATCGTGGCCGAGTGGTTAATATGGAGGGTTCACCCTTGCCGCTAAGTCATGCTCCGCACTTTCAGGCTATAATTGTGAATTAGGAGTGACAGTCAACTCCAACTATTCAGTCAAACAAAGTAGCCCTAGGGTTTAGGTGGGTGCTGTTGACTAGCTGCCTTCCCTTTATCAGTTTAAAAATATGGTCGGCTACACGTAGATAGCCTTCTGTATAACTTTGCGCAAAAATTCTGAAACTAACAAACTCAATTCATAGCTTTAACTGTGTTTTTGTTTCTTTATTAAAAGAAAACCTAGTAGGATGAAATGTCGGTATATTTTGTGAAAATAAAAAAAAGCTACCCAAAAGGCTAAAAACTGACCACGATTGCAGATGTGTAAGATACATCAGGAATGTAGGCGGATTTTTGGAATGTTTCACAAAATAGTTTTTATGTCCTTTCACATGCCAGTTAGAAAGAGTAAACTGCTATATATATATATACTTCAACTGTTTCAACTTCACTGCAACTTAGCAGGAACAGGCACTATTATCGGAAGTTGTGGAAATCACTCCACCGAATCACTTGGCCTGCTTTTTCCTACATGCTGTTGTCTCAGACTGCACGCTTGTGAATTAAATATTGAGCTCTCCGCGTTGTGGCTAGAACCTTAAGGT